TGCGACTCTTATCTTGTTAAGTTGAGCTGCCTTTTTGCCACCGGAAAGTGGGACGGCAGACCTGCCTGGTGTTTCTGAGAGCGTGTAGCCTGCTCACCCGTGGCCCTAAACCCTAAACCCTAAACTTTAAAACCCTAAACCCTAAACCCTAAACCATGCCAGCTTCGGGTCAAGGCTGCTGTCCTGTCTCGGCTTCGGGGAGCTGGCAACATCACCTCAGCCGCCTACGTGATTGCGGGAAGTACACGCTTTTTGCCTTTTGCCGTTCGCCTTTGCTTGGGATTCATCGGTCCTACAAATCGCGGCCACCGGGCTGCTCTATAAAACGGTAGCACAGCCATTCTGAAACGATAGCTGCTCCAAAGATGCCCCGTCTCACGTGGCGTGGAGCTTCGGCTGCTAGACGCTTGCTGCTCTGCCTGTCCGGGTCTCTGACTATAGAAGACTTGTTCAGGTCTCAAGCAGGAAGCAACGATAGGTGAGCTTCACACATTCTACCTGCCCTCCCGCCCCCCCCGCCCCTTCCCAACCGTTGCCGGCTGCGGGGCTCCCTTGCAGAGGTCCTTGAAAGTCCTGCCATTCTAGACCTGGCTTGGACGCAGGCTTGGACGCAGGCAACGGATGCACAGTGTACCGAGCTCAGCTTGCCATAGACACAGCAAGGCCCTAACAGTTGCGAACGGTCAGCACTCACTGGCCTTAAGTCCAGCCGACCTTCCTCTTTCCTTCTGCTCTGTGCAGCCATCTGCCCTCCACAAGCCCTTCTTACCCCTTTCAAGCTGTTGAAGTTAAGATCCTAAGCCCCCTATAGGCCTTCAGCTATACTTCTTTAAGCCTGTAAGTAGCCCGTGCAACCTTTCCTGCGGGCAGCATCCGCTGCATGTCCTTCCGCTTTTGTAGGCGGTGACCGCCATCACCTGTGACATTTTGTGAGGCTGTTTGCCGAATAACGCCTGGACTGATGCGAGTGCAAGCTAAGTATGGCAGGCGAGCTTCGATTCGCTTCGCAGCTCCTTTGAACCCTTCCGCCCGCCTGCGCAAAAACAGCTTGCTGACTTGGCAGAGTCGTTCCAAGAACTTGCACAGCTTCTGGAGACCCTTGCACTAGCTCGGCTTTGCCTCTCTGTTGCAATTGCTGGCGCTTTCGCTGCTCCTGCTGCCGCGTGCTGCGACTCGTGTGTTGTGGAGCTGTTGCAGTCTGCTCCCGAGCTGATACTCGGACTGGGTGGAGGTCCCTCTTGCCGGCAAAGCATGGCAGGCTTGTCGCAAATCCTAAACCCTACACCCTAAACCCTAAGCCCTAAACCCTAAACCCTAAACCCATCCGCCGGGTGAGGTGACTCACATTACCTTGTTGAGCTGCTGTGCTGTACCCTTGTTGAGCCTGAGGAGCTTCAAAACGACTGCACATTTGTCGCCTGCCGAGTGTATCCCGACTAGCCTTCCAGAAGTTTCTGTGTTGGCACGTGATGGGCGCCTGTTGCACCACTTCCTGGCAATGATTGCGAGGGAAAGGGGCTTGAATGATTGCGGAATACCGCCATCATGCCCATCACCAGAAACGATTGCAAGGGCCCACATGGTCTGCATTCCAATGGGGTTCAGCGGCTCAAAGAATGACTGTCATTCGGTTAAAAGGGGCCCAAAGAAAATCATTGCAGTCGGGGCAGGGGTAAACATTCTGAGTGAAGTTGTTTGGGTCTCATGCTCAAGTGATGCAGTGCCGGTACAGTTGCTCTTCGGCCCTGCCCGCTCATCTTCGCACCGCCCTCAGGAGTAGGGAAGATGTTGCCTCGCTGAGTTTCGCAAGGGGCGCACGCGCGCACGCTTGCTTGTGAAAGGCCCAATCAGCGCTGACCTCGTCCAGTCTGGCGACAAACCGAAGGACAACTTAGAACATCGTCCACGTGTTGGGCAAGCTTTGTGGCACATGCCTTCGTCGTCCAGGTTTGCCTCAGCAGAGCGCTTGTAGTTGCTGAGGCTCGTACGCCTGCCCGCCACAGCTTGTCCAAGGCCTGAAGCGTTCTCCCGTTTCTCGTAAACCCAGCTGCTGGCCCTGACTTCATCCAAGGGCCGGCCCCGGCCCCATTGCCCGTCTCCCTTTGCTTTAGCCCCTCAGCTTTCTCGAAGACCTTCGGTGCACCTTCCCTACATTTCCAGCTCCGCCTCCTGACCCGCCTGCAAGTTCCCTCCCTAAGCTAACCCTTGAACCCCTAAACCAAACCTTAAACCCCGGAACCCTAAACCCTTAGACCCCTAAACCTTAGGATCTTTGGGTCGGCAAGGGCGTCAAAGCCAGAAGGCTCAAGGCCAGGCAAGTGCATGCGAGAACGGAGGAAGCGTCGCCCAGTGCGCGCGGCAAGGACGTGCCATGGGGGCTTACGCAACACGCGGTTACCGGGATGCCAGGTGCCGTTGCAGTCTCGTGGTCAGCCGACAATATTCTTATCCACAAGACAGCCGGCGCACAGGAAAAAAAGCCTCGGACTGAACTGGGAGTGCCGAGGAGAAGCCGCTCAAGTGCGCTGCCCTCGACCGTCAGCTTTGTGCGCTTGTCTCCATGCCGGCTGTCCGGCCCCAAACACAAAACCCAAAAACTAGCTAGAGCCATACTTGCGAAGACCTCTGCCAAGCCGGGATGTCGGTACCTCTTTCGGCGGCAACCCAGAATCGCTGCTGCTGGTAGGTTTTGGGGGTTTAGGGTTTCGGGTTTAGGGTCTTCAGCTTAGTGTTAAGGTGTCGTTCTTCTGGAGATGTTTAGAATCCACGGCAGGCAGTTCTTGACGGTCTTGCCGTGAGCCGATCGTGACTCAGCACAAAGCACATTCTAGTTCAACGGCGTCTCCGCTGCCAAGACGTGCTTAGGCTTTGGGTTTAGGGTTTAGGGTCTAGGGTTTAGGGTTTAGGGTTTACGGTTTAGGGTTTAGGGCTTTGAGTACCCATAAGGTTGAGCTGTCGCAACGAAGACTGCGCGGAATGCATCCAGCCACGTCTACCGGGGGACGATCACTGCGGTGCAGCCCTGGACCCTAAACCTGAGAGCAGCTATTGGTGGCACCCCCAGCCCCCAAGCCCCTAAGCCCGAAATCCTAAATACAAGGCCTAAACATCGAAGCCTTGAGCCCTAAGCCAGCTTGCCCCACGGCATCCTGTCTGTGCCGGCCTGCCGGGAGGCCCCGCATGAAAACGCCTCTGGACTCCCCGCTGATCTCTCAGCTGATCTGTTTAGGGCCTTTAGGGTTTATAAAGGTTTAGGGTTTAGGGTTCAGGGTTTCGGGGACGAAGTCTGGGGGGTTTCTTCCCTGTGCCTTCAGGTTCGTGGGGATTCGTGCAGAGATGCTTGCGGTGCCAGCTTCGCGATGGCAAGCACGATGCAAGGCTCACTTGGGACAATGTACGTGCTCTTAAGGTTCAGGGTGTAGGGTAGCCCTAAACCCTAAACCCTAAACCCTAAACCCTAAACCCTAAACCCTAAACCCTAAACCCCCTTAGGGTAGGGCTTCGAGTTTTTCAAGTTTTCGACAGGCAGGGCTTGTCACGCGCCTGCGAACATGATGGTGCGGACTAGCGCTTTGCTTCATCGGAGCTCAAGGGGTTAACTTAGGGGCACTGGGGCATAATTCTGAATTTTCGGGTACTATAATTCCCAAGAAAGTTCAGTATAGTTAAAATGAAACTTTGAAGACAAAAAACACAGGGAGCATATAGGGGCGAGTGCTACAACCTAGAGGCCATGTGGGATTTCAGGACTAGACATCCCGACCTGTAGGGGCCAGCCGAAGTTTCTTTCTGTGGCCTCAGCGCAGTCTTGCCTGTGTGGCCGTGCTGTGTAGGGCCTGTTCGCTTGTTGCACCTGTGGCCGTTTGAGGCTTTCTTCGTTTGGAGCTCGTCACATGTGCCTTGCAAGCTCCAGACTCTAAACCCCATAAGCTTTAGACTCTAATGCACTTCCTTTACCTTCCTAAGACTGCAATCTCGGCCCTGCACCGGGCGGCCACTGCGGGTGCTGCCTGCTGCCGCCTCCCATGCATGAGTCTCAAAGGCACTCGGGCGGACTAGCGCTTGTCTCATCCAGTGGACCTCGATTTCCCTAAGCCCTAAATCCTAAACCCTAAACCCTAACCGCTTTGCGGGCATTCGGCCCCCCGCTCCTCGGGCGGCGCGCGTGACCTTGGCTGATGCTCCGCACTCGCGCAGTTGGCGACTCCCACGCCCGCATGCCCATTCGTTTCGTTTTGTGGCAATCCTGACTTCCGGAACATGTCAGCCTCCCTAAACCCTAAACCCTAAACCCTAAACCCTAAACCCTAAACCCTTGTGCTTGACAAGGAAGGCCTCACGCCAGCTTTGGGACCTCGCGGCATGCCTCCCCGATTGCCCGACTGCACCGACGGCGAGGGGACGGAAAAGGGTCGTATCGCCTCCATGGCCCAAAAAGACCCTACAAGTTTGGTCTACACTATTTTGGCGTGTTTTTTGTCCCAAGTACCTCAATCCTCAGGTCATTGATGTAATTCAGTGAAGAGTCTTGTCTGAAGCCCTGAAGCCTTAAAGACCTAGAAGCCTACAAGCCCTCAGCCACAAACCGTGAAACCAACGCACAACCGGGATCTGCACAGCTTGCTTCGCTTTTCCTGCTTTCATCGACCCCATCCACTTGGATCCACTTGGGGCTGTTGTGTGGTGACCCCGTCGGCGTGTGACCTTTTTTACATGTTGTCTGTTCATATTGCATAGCTGCCTGCAGTGCTTTTGCGGCTCTAGACTCTGGAGGGGGCAAGACATCTGGTTGACAGGTATTGCATGCTTGGAAGGCACCTGATAAGATTGCGGAAACTAATCAACTATTTTGTCAGAGCCTCACAGGTGAGAGAGAGAGAGAGAGAGCTGTAAATATATATCTTTACACATATTATAATATATAATTATATATATATATATATATACATGTATGTACTTCAACCTCTCGAGCCGACACCGCCGCTTGCGCGTGCAAAGCCATGCTGTCCAACATCCTTCGCAGCACCACGCGCCAGCGCGCCCGGGTGGTCGTCCAGCGGCTGGGGTCCCAGGCACCCAAGCCGGGGATGTCGCCCGTGGCCATGCCACGGTCCTGCCAGACTTTGGCGATCCCACGGCCCCGGCCGATACTCTGCTGGAGGCGCTCCATCTTTGGGGCCTCCTTGCTGATCGCCTCCTGTGGGATGCTTGGTAGGCCCAGTGGTGCCGGGTTCTGGGTTCCCTTATAAAGTAGCCAACCACCCCCCCCCAAAAAAGAGGTACCCTTAATTATAAGACGGTTACCAAGGATGCTTGCGCAAGCACCCACGGCCTTGTCCCTCGGCCGGGACGCCAAGGCAGCAAAGTGCGAGGAAAGTCCTGCGCCGATCCCTGAGAAGGTCCAGAAGGAAACCGAGCCAAAGCCCAGCCCCCTTGGCACGATCCTGAAGGCAGGCACTTTAGGGTTTAGGTGTTAGGGTTTAGGGTTTAGGTTTTAGGGATCCCTCAATCCGATAGTCCATCTCGCAGGGTTGCTCTTGCTTTGCAGGGTTAGGGTTCCGGGTTTAGGCTTAGGTTCAGGGATACCCTAAGCCCTAGCCCCTAGAGCCTAAACCTTGTAAACACTAGACCCGAAAACAGGGCTTTCGGGTTCAGGGTAGAGGTGAGTCAACAGGGCCTCAGGTTGGAATGGCGCGCATGGAGGTTCATAGTACTTCTTAACCCATTATAAACCTATCAAAACCCAATGATAACCCTACTAGGGTACTTATGAACCAAGTATACCTTTCCTTATAGCTGCATTTGTAACCCTATTAGGGTAGTTAAGGGGCTTATAAGTGGGTTAAAGGTGCAGTTATAAATGGCCAGTAAGTACCCAGAACCTGCAAGTTGGGGAAGGACCTGGGTTAAGGGTTCAGGGTTAAGGGTTCAGAGTTTAGGGTTCCGGGTTTAGGATTTAGGGTTCAGGGTTTTAGGATTTCGGGTGTGGGGTTGAGGGTTTGGGGTTTGGGGTTTAGAGGTTAGGCGACACCCCCCCCCCCCCCCCCCCCCAAAAAAAAAAATTCCACGATCGCACCCTCGAACGCAACCCATTTGCTTTCCTTTCGGGGGTCGGTTCGCGTAAAGACCCCATGAAAATGAAAAGCAGACTTCCCCTTGAACATTTCTGGGGCCTGGGGAACGTCTTAGGGTTTAGGGTTTATGGTTCAGGGTTTAGGGTTTAGGGTTTAGGGTTTAGGGTTTAAACCCCTACTCAAGCCCTTCAACCTGTGCGAACCTGCAGCCCTAAACCCTAAGCAAAAGCTTGGAAGAGCGTAAAGCAGCAAAGCAGGTCTCTGCAGCTCTTTTGTGCTGGGGTCTCTTTACCGGGCTCTGGCCGCTTGGATCAGGTTTTGGGACGTTTTGCGGTTTTGGGGGTTCAGGCTTTTGGTGTTTTAGGGCTTAGGCTTTTGGGTTTTTTGGGCATAGGGTTTTTGGGTTTTGGGGCTTTGGGGTTAGTAGGGTTTTAGGGCTTTGGGATTTTCACGACTGTTCGCTTGGGAACCCCAAAAAGTGAAAATTGATTCTTCCTGTTTAAAGGGGGGGGTCTTAAGCAAACAGTAGAAACCCAGAACCTGAAACAATAGAACCCTTGAACACCTACAAGCCCTTTACATCTTAAACCGAATAGAGCGCGAAACGCCATAAAACCCCTAAGCTCCCTTAAAACCCTAAAGCCCCCAAAAGCACTAACAGCCCTAAACACCCGGCTTAAAAGCCTCAAGTCGCCAAAAACCCTAAACACCCTAAACTAAATCCCTAGAACCCAAAGATTCTTTAAAAGCCATGCTCGACTCTTAAAATTCTCAACCCCATGCCCCAAGCCCAGACCCCTGTACCCTCAAACGCGCAACAAAAACCGAAACCTCTAAACCCTAAACCCCTTAAATAGCCCTATAAAAACGTACACCCTAAACACGAAACTCTAAACCCTAAACCCCAGAAAGCCCTTAAAAGCCCTGTGAAGCAAGGTTTGCCTCGGTGACGCTGCCCGCGGCCCTCGGCTGGGCGGTGGCGACTGGACGGTGGAAGGCGCTCTCATCGTTTAGGGTTTAGGGTTTAAGTTTAGGGTTTAGGGTTCAGGGTTCAGGGTTCAGGGTTCAGGGTTCAGGGTTCAGGGTTTGGGGCTGTTTTAGGGGTCTTGTGGCCCTAGACCTTATAAGCCCTTAACCCCGAACCCTAAACCCTGACGGCTTTGCGGTCTTTTGTAGGATTTCATCTCAGGTCGGGTTTCAGGTGTTTGGAGTTTCGGGTTTGGGTTTCAGGGGTTTTGGGCTTTGGCGGCTTTAGTGCTTTGATTTTTAGGCAGTTTAGGGTTTTGGCCGTGTGAGGCTTGAAATACCCTATGAAAACCTAGAGACCTTGTCAACCCTACGAACCCCGTAAGCCCGCTTAAGGTGATAGGGTTTAGGGTTAAGGGTTTCCTACCCTCTACGCCCTAAGAACCCCGACAGCCCTGTACCATACACCCCACATCACCCCAATTAGGGTTTTAGGGTTCAGGGTTTAGAGTTTTGGGTTTGGGGTTTAGGGTTTCGCCGTTGGAGGTCGTCTCGTCGATCTTCGCAGCCTATTGCCACTGGGCCAATCAAAGTCTCTTGCGGTTGCGGTTGAGGGCTTTATAGGGTTTAGGTTTAGTGCTTTATAGGGTTTAGGCTTCATGCTTTATAGGGTTTAGGCTTCGTGCTTTATAGGGTTTCAGGTTTGGGGGTTTCAAGTTTCGGGTTGCGCCGAAAGGCTCCTATGTAGTACCGTTTTTGGGGTAGTATACTAGAATACCCGATAACTAACCCAAAAAGAACTACATTAGTAAGGGTTCAGGGTTCAGGGTTCAGGGTTTAGGGTTCAGGGTTTAGGGTTTAGGGTTTAGGGTTTAGGGCGGCCACGTGCTCTCCGTCCTCGAACATGGGCGCCCGAATGCGCCCTAAACCTACAGGATTATGCTGTACATTCTGTCGCAAGAAAGCAGCTTGGACTTCCTGAGCCCTTGGACCCTAAACCCTAAACCTACGTCCTTATAATTTGGCTTAAAGCCCTGCTCCTCCTACGAGGAAGTAGGTTGTTATAAGGCCCAAGCCTCCAATCCAAGTGGGGACCCATTGTAACCCCAAACGGTATGGACCGTAAGCCCTGGATTCTAGTCCCACCAGCTTCTTCTTCTGCTGGGATTGACATGTAGGGGCTGCGCATCTCTTAGGGTAGTTTCATGCTCCCCTTGATATGGTCACTTACCCTCTTTAAAAGGGTTCTGACGTATGGGCCCTTGGGTTGTATGGAGAATGTGAGGGGGTGTAGAAGGGATCCTCGGCCCGAGACTTTGTTTCGGACTACGTGCGCAAGCACAGCCCGGGCCGATTCTCGGGCTTAGGGGCGTCCGGCGATGCCAAAGCCGACGCCCCAGTCTCAGAGCTCGCATCCGTCGCAGCGAGCATGAGCCCATCAGGGTGCCCCTCTGACGCCTCGGGCTCAAATCCTCTTGGGGAGTTTAGAGGCTTCGGGGGGTGTGTATGCGTTTGGGTTCCCCTCAGTTTATAGGCTTCGGGGGGGTGTCAGCGCTGGGGTGTAGGCTGATTGTGATTCTAACAACGAAGATGATCATGATTGTTGCTACCATGATTCTTCCAACTCATATTCTTATCATCATCAGTATTGTTACGGTGACGATTATATGTTTGCCCTGCTAATACGAACCTAAGCCCTAAACCCTAAAAAAGAAAACGGTCCCCCGAACTACGACGTGGTTCAGTTAGAGTCTATAGGGACATAACGTCCGGTCTATGGTTCCTGCTGTTTAAGATGTAGGGTAGGGTTTATAGGGATTCAGCTTGAACGAGATGCCGGTCAGTTACGGTTGGGGTATAGGGTTTAGGGATGTTTAGGGTTTAGGGTTTAGGGTTAGGGTTCAGGTTTAGGGTGTGACCCCTTCTTTTCATCTGCAGGCTTCCCGCACGTGGTCCATCTTCCAGCCCTGCCGCGCGATGTACGGCACGGCTTTTGGGTTGGCCTCGAGGGCTGGCACCTTGGCCACTACCCTTACTCTTGGTTAGCAGGGAATGAGGGAATGAGGTACCCGCCCTAAGATCTTTTAAGCCATAAGCCCATAGATCTTTTAAGCCTTATAAGCCCGAAGCCCTATAAGCCCTAAACCCTAAACCCTAAACCCTAAGCCCTAAACCCCAGCCCTAAACCCTACTCGGAGGTTCATGGCACCTCTTCGCCAATCATGACTGTACTTATAACCCACTTATAAGCCTCTTAAGTGCCGGCCTTTTTTTTTTTTTTGAGGATCCACTACGGGAACATGAAATAAGGGCCATACTAGGAGTACATTTAGGGGAACCTCTTAGGGGTACATCCTTAGGGTACGGCGCTTGATCCATTGACGTATGTATTGGACCTCTGTGTCCTTTGGGATTGAAGGGTTTAGGCTTCAGGGCCTCAGGGCCTTAGGGTTTTAGGGTTCAGAGCGCCTCAGGGTTTTGGGGCTGAGGTGTAAGGGCTTAAAGGCCTGTAGGGCTTGAATCTATAGGGTTTCAATACTTCAAAGGATCAGGGAGCTTTGTGAGTTTTTGTTGGGGGGCTCTGGGGTGGCTCCACGGGTCTGGGGCCTCAGGGCTGCTTGATGTCTTTGAAGCTTTTGCATACCCTAAACCCTAAACCCTAAACCCTAAACCCTAAACCCTAAACCCTAAACCCTAAACCCTAAACCCTAAACATGCTTAGGGGGTCGCTCTTCAGCTGCTGCAGCTTTGTGAGCTGAAGGGCTTAGGCTCTTGAGCTGGTAAGCCCCCCCTCCCCTCCTCCCCCTCCTCCCCTTCCTCCCCCCCGCCCCTCCCGAAACCCGAAACCCGAAACCCGAAACCCGAAACCCCAAACCGATTCTCTAAGCCCTGGGAAGCCCATCACAGCTGAGGTTCCCTGGAGGCATCCAGGCCCGGAATGTTCAAAGCTTCCGACGGCAGGGTTTAGGGTTTAGGGTTTAGGGTTTAGGGTTCAGGGTTCAGGGTTCAGGGTTCAGGGTTCAGGGTTCAGGGTTTAGGGTGTCGATGCCTGCTTATTGGGTTTCAGGACCCCCTAGTAAGGGCCTCGGTGTGCCTTAAAGTGGTTTCGGGTTTAGGGTTAGGGCTTGGGGTTTGGGATAGTGGCTTTCCGTTTGGGCTTTGCCTAGACTAGGCAGGAAGTTTACCTGAATAGTAGCGTACATTTATAGCCTTTGCAAGGCGCTGTGCTCCTGCAGGTTTTAGAGGGGGGTTTCTGGTTCAGGGTTTAGGGTTCGGGGTTCAGGATTCATGGTTCAGGGTTCAGGGTTTAGGGTTTAGTGTCTTAGGCTGGCATTTTGCCCAAGGTTTCCAGGCTTCCGGCTTTGGGCATTCGAAGTAGTTTTTTTGTGCTTGAGACCTGTCGGCTTATG